TTTTGTGTGATAATTTGCGATACAAATAATCGCAATATCATTAAAAAAGGTCCAAAAAGTAATTAAAAACCTATTAAAAATTGGTTACTTTAATAGAGTTAAAATAGGCAGCCACCTGATTGATGTTGCGCTCAGCTAACAGCACGCATTGATTATTATTATTAGGGTAGGGGGTATTCTAGTATAGAGGCAAGAATTTCAGGTAATTTTTAAGGTGTCGAAAACAAAGGCAATTAATATTTTTCATATTAATTTTTTAAAAGTTGTTTATTAGCATTACGAGAATACAAGAAAACAATCAAAAAGTAAAAATATCAAAAATTAGCAGCTGATACTTATCAGCTCAAAAGTGACTCTTTTAGCAACCTGAAAAAAATATATATGGTTCTACGTGTCAGTAAAAAATCTATATATATATATCCGAAAATAATTTGAATTTCGAAAAGTCCTCTTATAGAAAAGTCCTCTTATATGAACCGATAATGGCAGTTCCGACAAATGAGCAGCTCCTTGAAGAGAAACAGGCGTGTGCACAATTACAAATCGATATCTCAAAAACTGAGGGACTGTTTCGCATATATACAGACAGACGGATGGATAGACGATTATGGCTAAAGCGACTCAGCCCGTCATTCTCATCATTTATATATATATCTTATAGACTCTCCAACGGTCCTTCTGACTGTTACAAACTTTGGGGCGAGTTTAATTGGCTCTGTTCAAGGTATAAATATACCTCGCATATTACCAGAAAATTGTGAACTGCTTTATATAAGAAATACTAACTAACACACCGTTTATACATTTTAATGTTTTTTTTTTATAACTCATACGCACTGTAGGCGAAACCTCATTTTAAATGCCGCTTAAAATTTTTTTCGTAATTAATTTAGCTCCATTTGAATTATGTAAACATGCATGCATAAAGCATGTGCAAGTAAGCACTTGTATATTTGTTTGTTTGCGGCCATGTTTGCATTGTTTGGCCTGCTGACGTCATTCGTCGACACTGTTCCTGTGCGCTTCGCATCATTCAAACGCACTTCCTTTGCCACACGCTTCCGCTACTGAATTACTTGAGGTATGTTTCTTGTTATTGCTGTTTTGCACTCCATTGTTTAGTTTGCTTGTTATGGCTGCGTTGCTTGCCGCAACCTTACTCATCGTCCTGCCAACTGACCTCTCGTCCTCTTTACCCCAGCTGAGGTTGAGACTTGTTTGTCAATCTGTTTATCCACTTGCCATAATCCGTAGCTCAACACTTGTGGCATTTTCAGCAGGAGTTGTAGTCGCAATTGCTACTTGCAACGTCTGTCGCAGCATAACTTGCAACAAACTTAAATGCATATATTTGTTCATACATACATACATACATAAATACACAAATTGCATGCGAATATGCGCGTAGCTTTGCGGTCTCTGTGTTGCAGCTGAGTAAATGATGTGAGGTCGTCGCTGCTGACACGAGCTGTTGCAACGTCGCTCAAACATCGCTTTCTCTGCTGCAGCTCGAGCAATTTCTGCCATTTTATTGCCGGCTACTATTTATTTACTTAGGAGTTGTCGGCAGTAATAAGGACTTGCAAGTGTGCGAGGCAGGGCAGCGTGAGTTTAGAGGAAAAGTAAAACTCACTTATTCTTACTGTGTTTGTTATCTTATTTTCCGTGTTTTTTTTTACAGAGTTCAGTTTGATTTGTATCTCTTATTTATTATTATTTTTTTAATACAAATAAACCTAACGATTATCCTTCCAACCGGCACGAACAGAGAGAGAGTTCGTAAAACGTTCGTCAAAATTAAGCATAGAATACCATCGTGGAAGAGCATATTTTTCTACGCCAAATTAATACGCTTTTTCTGCAATTCGTCATCTAGTAAATCAGCATATTGGAGGAATTTGGCGGTTTTGGTCAGTTAGATCCCACCCTATGAGTCTAAAATAACTGTCATAACATCTCCGTCGGTAGGAAATTCCTCGCTTTCTTCGAAGCAGGTTTGCTGGATGAAGTCTGCCGTTTTGTAATGTCTCTTTACTTTCTACTGAGTACCTGTAAATCAATTTTTCGACAGCGGTCACTGATTAAAGTTGTACCCAAGATATTGGGGAGCACACACTATTTATCTAAAATTAACACTTGCTTTATTTCAGAGAAACGCTCGCAAATACTTTTTAATCAAAATGCCCGCATATGGGGCGTAAGCAATTTATTTCACTTCTATACAATATGTTGTATATTTAATGTTGTATACACAATGAATAAAAGCACAAATTAGTTTATATAACGAATTGAAAATGCGTCGAAAAAGGTAGCGCCCAGGTTCGTATAGCGAAAACCAATATATAGGATCGCTGTAGCAGCTGTCCAAAAATCGAATGTCCGTTTTGCGATGATCCCGTCCTTTTTTCTTAGGTGTCTTCGTGCATGTTGTTCTCAGAGGCAGAGTGCGGTGGTGTCGTTGTGTGGGGTGAAATTACTTGAGTGTTCACAGGTGTGGTGTGTTTCATTAGGGTGTGTCAGTTTTTCCCGAGTAGAGTGGTGCACTTGTAGGAGAGAGTTTAAACTCATTTAAACAGTCACAAAGCAATGGATAAACTCTTTAGAATTGCGCTTAAACACCGTCAAACACTGCTGTGAAGTGTGCTCCGGAATGAACGAACGTGGTACCCATCGCGCATTATTCAGAATATTTTGTGCAGTATATAATCCTCGCGGTTTTTAAAATGCTCCCTCTTCTTCTAGTTCGGCTGAAAACCAACAGTTCTGTCGAATGCTTTAGTAAACTCAGTGTAATATCATTAGACATATTATTCCAAAAACTTCAGTCTCCCGGGCTGAGGATAAAATATTAATTCAGAAACCGAAAAAGTTTTATGATTTCTTACACCAACATAGATTCTTGTTTGAAGTATTTATTGCATTCTTCATCTATTTATTATTTTATTTATTTATAAAGTAAACGAGTGAATATGAATTAAACATGTTACACAAATAAACATGATAAAACTAAAATAAATATTAAAGCAGGAACGTTCCAACATTACCTTATTTACCAAGCAGCAAATCCTCTTATTGGCGATACAATAAACACACCATTTTGCGAATATTATTGTACAATCATATACAAACCAACACAGCAAACTGCAATCTCAGCTGCTCCCTATTCACTTAGTCGAAATAATGGGTAAACAAATAGATAGCCGATGAGCATGCAAGAAGGGAACACTTGCCAAAATCTCATCATGATGGGAACGAGGAGATGTTCATCGTCTTCGTACATTCGGATCTATGAATATCGCGCAAGCTCAGGAAGCGTGGGTCGGTAACACACGTGGGGTTGCGGAAGCCGTCTAGCCTAGAGTTGAACGTAAATAGTCCATTAAGCTACTAGCTCTTAGCAAGGTTCACATGACAGTAATGATACTAGGTGTTCCAACATTGGCACTAACGCGATGAGTCTAAGGATTTTGGAGGCGCAGCTTGTCAAAGTTGCAGGGAGTAAGAGTACTTCTTCTTTACTGTCCAGCTTTAGCTAGTTGAAGCTTATCAGTGGCCATATTTTCTATGATATCGGTAAATTAGCTGGAATTGATATAGTCGCCTTAACAATTTTTGACTGTATATTTTTTGTCTAAGCGAAATACCTCTTACCTTCAATCTCGTATACTGATCGATATACAACCTACTAGAAAGATTGAAAACTATTTCTTAGGCATATGGGCAATTCATTTGTTATATATTTTTAGGACAAATAATTAGTTAAAGAGCTTACAACGAATATCTTGAGTTCAGTAGGCGTGGTTGTGGTTCGATTTCGTCGATATCTCTTTTGCGAAGTGGTTTTGAAAGTATGAACTACCATCCGAAGTCCCATTTTTATATTGTATGTTTTATCACATTTGTATATTTTACATTCCAAGTGTTATTTGTTAGATAGCTATACCAATTTCTACTATTTTTTCAACTTGCAACATTGTGTTGAAAGGCTTCCTCTTATTTGTAGAAAACATATCACTGCTAGCCCATAAATAGAGTGTTCTACAGATTTTAGATCGCTTGCAAACATTTAATGGAATTTCAAGAAAAGATTGGTTTTAACCATTTCGATCTTTCATACTGTATCTCATATATGATTTGCCGAAATTTGTTATACACCATTGAGATAAGAGGAGAAGGTAGTAAAAGTATAAATGATCTTTGGAAATAAGCACAATTTTGAACAATGAAGACTATTATTTTCTTAACTTAAATTTTTTTTCAAATCAAATTTAGTCCTAAACCCAGTGTTGTATGATGTAATATGACACAGATTTCAATAAAGCTTCAATATAGATAAAAATTAAATATATAATATGCAGTGATTCGTGACATATTCATATATAAGTAATTATGCATTTAATGTTTTTAAATCTGTATTTTGTTTGTTACTCTGCAGAAACTCTCACTTTTCAACCGGAATTTGTGGAAAGCATATCGAATGTGTCAGTTGCTGTGGGCCGGGATGCTACATTCACATGTCATGTGCGGCATTTGGGTGGTTATAGAGTAAGTATTTGACCACAAAACTGTATATTTATATACTTTAACACAAAACAGAGCATATAAAATTATCAATTAACTTTAATTATTATTTCAAAATTTATTCTTTACGTTTTTTTTATCTTGTGATATGCTAGATTCTTTCAGCGAGAACTTTATAAATCCACTACAGTTGAACACACTTATGTATATCATACATTTTTATGCATACACTAAAAAATCAATTTTAGACTTTGTTTCATGGTATTTTATTCTCTCTATTTTTCTTCATTTGGCCACCCACTCCACACCGTCACATCACCTCTGATCAACCTGTGGTCATCACAACCATTATTAAACAACTGCAATCGTTGTCGACTGCTAATATTGCCCACTTTCCCGCTATTTTCGCTGTCATTTCGACTATCAACACTGTTGCCGGTACTAACTGACGGCACTTGTCGCCGCGACACCACTATCAGGTTGGCTGGCTAAAAGCGGATACAAAAGCCATTCAGGCGATACACGAGAATGTCATCACACACAATCCACGTGTCAGTGTTAGTCACTTGGATCAAAATACATGGAATTTACATATAAAAGCAGTGTCGGAAGAGGATCGCGGCGGTTATATGTGTCAGCTCAATACGGATCCAATGAAAAGTCAGGTGAGTGCATGGAAGTGCTGAGAATGAAATGAAATTCGAATGCAATTAAATTTTGTTATGAACAGTGGCAATGCATAGGAATTTAAAGTGTAAAATTTCCTTAACTAAAATGTTAAATCGATTAACTATTTATGGTTTAAACGCACAACTAAATATAAAAAAGCTTTTTTAGTATAAATGTCTACTTATTCGACAATATTTAACAAAAAAGTATAAATTAAGTCATATATTTTTTATATATTAATTAAATCAACATATCAAATGATACTTTTAATTAACGTTGCATGACAGATATGGGAATACCCAAATATTACAAATACTCTAGTAAAATTAACAAGCTATAAGCTGCTTTACAGCTAGAATGAATCCCAAGCACTATTCATCAGCCTACTGTCCTCTTCTCGTATAAACAACTTACATTAACATACTTACGTACTTTTTTAACTTCTTTGATGTTCTATTCCATAATATATATTGCCAGATTTAGGTTAGAAACCTGACTTTTAATAGTCCACTACAATCTACTGATATACTACTGTGATCAAGAAGTAAGATAAAATTGTCATTTAAAACTCTCGGGCAACAGGAAGACAGGGAATTTTTATTTTTAGGTTGGTAGAACTGTCTATAATATTGTCTATGTGTCAAAAGGTTTAATTATCTTCCGAGTCCGAGCTTTTGTAAACACCCAAATATTACTTTTGATTTTTACTATGGCGGACACATCACATCAAATGTTCTTTGCGGACACATTGAAAATGTTGCTGAAGGTATTTGGTGACACAAAAAACGTTTACACCGTAAAAATAAATACTATTCTGACTATTTCGAGAACTAGAAGAAGCGTAGGCAAAAGGACGTTTTATGGGACGGAGTGAGCGTATGAAATTGATTTGAAAGAACTAATAATGAACTAATATTTTATACACAAATTCACCTTACTTTTCGGTCACATTGGTCCATTCGTATTGGTACTACATACAGCTGCATATCTTGTTATATATTTTTTTTATTTTTATTTTTTTATTTCAACTGGTGCAGGTCTATAGAGATGTTTAACATCTGTGCATAGAACCAGGGCATTACAAAAACAATATATTTAACATCTTATTTTCTAATATTATAAATATTCTAGCATGGATAATAGTACATTACACTAAATATTGCGTGACAAAGTTATACATATAAATTATATATTATACCAAGTAAGAGCAAAAATTAATCACTTAATAGATAGCTAAAATTTACTATATTGATAAGTTATTTATCCAGGATTTTAGATTTTTGTTAAGAGATTTTTTATTACATGTTAGAATCTTCAAATTATTAGGAAGCATGTTAAAGTACTTAATTGCTATATAATATGCATTTTTAATGCTAATTGACTTTTTAATTTTTGGTAATATTAGAGTATTAGCTCTAGTTTGTACTTGTTTGGTAAGATATTTTGATTTACACTTTTCATAGTATTGTATTATAGCCTTAACAATAAAAGTTTTCTTGATGTCAAGTGGCAAATTAGTTTCATAATTGTTTTCAAAGAACTTTAATAAACGGTTTTGCATATTTGTTATAGGCTGCAGAGCATTTTTGTAGGCTCCACCCCAGGCAATTATTCCGTAATTGATTACACTTTCGAAGAGTCCATAGTATATAGTTTTTAAGATTTTTATGTCAACCCATTTACTCAATTTGAAAAAGAGGAAAGCAAAGTATCTGACTTTTTTGGCCAGCTTGTTCACATGAAAATTCCATTTCATATGTGTATCAAAGTACAGACCCAGATAATTGCTGTGATCTACTCTTGTGAGTTCTCTGTTGTTTATATTTAGTATATAATTGACGGGTATACTATCACAATAACTGCCAAAAGTGATGTATGTTGACTTGTCTATGTTAAGAGATAATTGATTACTTCGTAACCATTTATTTAGTATCTCCAACCATCTATTCAGTCGTGTTTTAACTTCATTCCAATTTTTACCAGAGCAAAGCACTGCAGTATCATCAGCATAGGCTACGAGAGCCATTTCCAGATCTTATCTAGTAGTATTTCGTGATTTACAGTATCGAACGCTTTTGCTAGGTCTAGAAAGACTAGGACAGATGGTAAATTTTTATCAATATTTTTATAAATAAAATCTGATGTAAGAGTTAAAGCATCACTGATACCTCTACTTTTCATAAATCCAAATTGGTTCGGAGAAATTAAACTATTTTTCATACAGAAATCATAAAATCGAATATATATTATTTTCTCGAATATTTTAGCAAGGTTTGAGATTAGAGAAATAGGCCGATAGTTATTTGCTAAGTGTTTGTCCCCGGATTTATGTATAGGTATAATATCAGCTTTTTTAAGTACAGAGGGCCAAATAGCTTTATATATACAAATATTGAAAGTATGCTCTAAAGGTATACTAATATCTTTGGCTATAATTTTTAAAATCTTACTGCTAATGCCGTCTACACCACCCGATTTATCTTTCATTTCTTTTATGATTTTTTCAATTTCAGTATAACTAGTTGGAGTAAGAAACATGCTATTAGGGTTATGCTTAACATTTTTATTTATGTCAATCGATATTTTATCAATTTTATTAGCTAATTCAACTCCAATATTACTAAAGAAAGTTATAAACTCATCAGCAATAACCTGGTTATCGGATATGATTTCATCATTACATACTAGATAATCCAGTACAGGCGTTGCTTTAGTTTTTTTACCTATTTTCGTGTTAACGTATTGCCACATTTTTTTACTATCTTTGGATATTTTTTTAACATATTTACTTTCGTAGTTATTTTTGGCAAGTGTTATAACTCTCTTTAGTATTTTACAGTACGCGTTATATTCAGATTTTAATTTTACATTATTTCTATCCAAGTTCCATAGTCTGTATAAAGTTTCTTTTGTTTTACATGATTTTATAATACCTTTAGTTATCCATTTACTCCTCGGTTTGTTATTGTTCTTAGTTTTATTTACTTTGGATCTTAAAACATCAATAATATTATTTATATTTTCAATCAGAAGCTTAAAAAAAACTTCTGGATCTTTTATATCAAGCATATGGGACCAATCATGTAAACTACTATTTACTTTTATAAGATTGTGGTTAATGAAATAGGTTTCTTTAAGCATAGACTTTATAGGGAACAAATCCAGAGCAACAAAAATAGGATAATGATCTGTAAAAACATTGGCATAAGTAAAGGATCTGATTTTCTCAATATTTGATTTAACAAAAATGTTATCGATACAAGTACCCCCTAAGTCATTAGGTCTGGTTACACCATTGAAATATGGTATATATGGTATATAGCCACGATCTAATAGATTATTTAAATATTCATTTGTAGCAATATCAGAATTTAATAAATTGATGTTAAAATCCCCAACTAGAAAATGATTGTTCCCATGCTTGTTTACGTCTAAAAATTTAGTTATTGCATCTTTAGGAATGTCTTGACATCTATATATACCCGATATTTTAAGATTTTTATTACCCTTCAATTTTATTATCGTTGAGATAATTTTCACGTTATCAATTACATCTATCTCAACATCATGTTTTAAAGATTTTTTAATATATAATACAACGCCATCAGCTCTATTATTTTTGCTACTATTATAGAAAATATTATAGTCATTCATTTTAAAAAAAGTATAACAAGAAAGGAGCCAAGTCTCCGTACAGACAATAATATCTGGTTTTATTACAAGATGTTCAATAAATAACTCTAATTTGTTGAAATTTGTATTTAGGCTTCTAACATTTAGGTGAACCATAAAGAAATTGTTATTAGGTAACGTATTATTTAAATTATATAAATCAGTAAAAATTTCTTCAATCTGCATTTCTTCTTTATCAATCATCGGTTGTTTGTGAAGACCAATTTCCAATTTTACCTAGTGACTTTGGTATCGATGGTTTCACCGGATAATCAGTATTGTTTATTATTTTATTTATACTATTAGAGATATATTCACAACATGTATCCATAGCACAATGATTAGTTGGGCGGTTTTTCCGATATTTTTCATTATAGTACACGCAATTGAGACAGTTTATGTTAGTACTTTTACAGGTGTTAGTTAAATGATCACCCGCAAACCTAAGACATTTAACCTCATTCTTACAATTTTTGTGTTTGTGGTTTGATCTTCCGCATTTATAGCATAAATAAAAATTTAAAAAATCATATACTTGGCAGCATTGATAACCAATGTACAATTTAAATCCGCAATTTTTTAGATGTAGGTATGACTCAGAGGTTAGCTCGAGTATCAATGACCGGATTCCAGCTTTGTTCCTGTAGTCCGCGATGATGTTGAAAGCGCCATCAATATCTTGGAAATTCCTATTACATATATCCTCGCATAATTCTTCTTTGTTTAATTCATTTTCCACATTAGTAACTTTTATTTTAGGAAAATTAAGATGCTCCAAGTCAACACAATAATCACCACCCAGTTTTTCACTTAAGACCAATTTAACTCTTTGTATATCATTTGTGTTTTTACATTTAACAGAAACAAGCCCATCATTATTTTCACGAACGTTGTTGATTGGTATTGTTAGATCACTTGTTAATTTCATTTTTACTATTTTCAGAGTTTCACCATTATCATTATTTTTAGCTTTAACTAATATTTTAGGTACTCTTTCATTAATATTAGTATGTCCTTTAGCAATGTCAGCATATGAAATTCTTACATCACTTAATAAATTCCCTTTTTCCACCAGGTTGTTCAGTAATTTATTTCGTTCCTGTAGCTCTGAATTTAACTGTCTTAATAGTTCATTTTCCATTTTTAGAGCTGATACTTCATCAATATCAATGTCAGATACATCAAGTGTCCTCTTCTTTCTGGATTTCGGCGCCATTATAGAGTAACGCCAATTCGCCAATTATATGTATATTAAAATATTTTCCCTATAATAGTCTTGTTATATCTCAGTTTGTATGTCTTGAACAAGTTACATTGAGTTTGC